GGTTCTTTCACTGGTGCTAGGGAAGCCCCCTTCTCCATGTTGAGAGGAGGCAATAAGTCCACTCTGCTTTCAGCAGGATGAAGAAAAATTGGGGGTGGCGGGAGTGGTAAAGCATTGGGCGAGGCCATGCCAAGAGATTTTCTCTGGCCTATTCGAAGGTCTGGTGGGTGCAATGGAGGAGAGGCTTTCCTTCACCTTTTCTTTTTCTCTCTGCAGTCCCGGCAGGTGCCCTCAGAATCGGGTTCTCCTCCCTTTGCAGGGCGTGAGGAAGCCCTGAAGCAGCCTAGGACCTGCCTCCTTCCTCTCCCATTCCGGCATCAGTGGCTGGCCAGGATCATCCCTTCGGTGGGGCCGAGCAGAAGGAGCTGCCATGCAGCCGCCTCCAGTAAGCAGGGGACGTGGGGTGGGATGGAGCTGAACCAAACAGCAGAGATGCCACCTCTAATTTGGGAACGGGCCTGGAAGAATAAGCCTCCTTCTCATCACTTTTGGCCCTGCAAATCTGGAATTAGCTTGCTGGGCCTTGGTTAGTTGCTTCATCAGGTTCCAGGCTTTATCTTGTTGAAGCTATTGGCATTTATATGTGTCTAAATCTGATGGACCCCTCTACCTTTAGGACCCATGGCCACATTTGGGAATTTGAGAACCTGCCACAGGCACTACACAAAATGGTTCCCATCAAGGCTGTTGCTTTTCACCGGTGCCGGGCTAGTTAAGAGGCTGGTGGGAGAAAGGCAGTGTGGCTGGAGGCTGGTTGGGAGACAGGGATAACAGAATGTGCCACACATTGATTTGCTGCTTGTTCCTTCCTTGGCAAAGCACACGGGCTCATGTTGAGAGAAACTAGAGAAACTATATATTAACAGAGCAAGAGAGAATTTTAGATGCCATTCCAGGTTTTTAAAACAATCAATAGAAGTCAAATTGCATATCTTATTTAGTAGCAGGTGGGCAATTAACTCATGGAGAATTAAAGTTTCTGGTACAGAATCCTCAATAATTTTTTCCTTCCTTCTGTCCTTCCTTCCTTCCAGCAGAGCCTGGTTTGGTTCGAAGAGGTGGCAATATATTTCAGCAAGGGAGAATGGGAGCTGCTGGACTCGGGCCAAAGAGCGCTCTACAAAGAAGTCATGCTAGAGAATTATGGGAACGTGGCCTGTGTGGGTAAGGAGGTCTTTTTCGTGGTTGTCAAATGCTGTAGAGAGGAATTGTGATATTTGTTATTTAATGTTGCTGCACTGTGGGGAGGGTTTTGTGCATACAAAGCCTGGATGGGCTTTCTGTGTCCAGCTAGGCCAGAGCAGACCTTGGCCTGATGGAGAAATTCGGTGCTGGGAGACGTGATATTGGTAACGTTTGTTATTTGTTACCATTGTGTCATTTGTTACTGTTGTGTTGTTTATTAAATAAAACAGCCTGGTATTGCCGTTTCTCAAAGCAACCAAGTGGCTTGCCAAAAATAATCAGGAAACAAAAATCCTAAGCAAAGACACAGCAAACGCGTAAAAACTGTTGTGCGCTGCATTTCCTCCTCCTGGCAATCACCAGCCTCAGACGGTTTCTTCTGCAAAAGGCTTTTTCTCATTTGCAAATGCAGATCATCCATATAAGTCCCTGAGCATAGCAAACTGGTTTGTTGAACCCAATCTAGCGATTACTTCCCAAAACTATCCTTAGGAGCACATTTGTGGCCCGAACCTTGGCAAGGGGCACTGTGGAAGCAAGCACACCTGTTTTCCACATGCTTCTCATCTAATTGATCCCCTTGCCTCTGCTGGCACCTGTCTGTCTGTCTGTATTTGTATCCTGCCCTTAGCCCATGGGCTGTCCTAGGCAGGGGAGCCAGCTCCAAGGGTAGGTAGGGGCTGATCTCCGTTTGAGGATTCCCCAGTCTCCGTGGTCCCTCCCACTGACTCTTTCTCCATGCTGTTCCCAGGGTCCATGTGACCGGCCACCATGTTTGCCCTTGAACTAATCGCTTCCGCCTCCCCTGTTGTATCCCAGGACCTTAAGCAACTTCCTGCTCTTCAGTTCCACATCTTCTGAATCTGAATCCACAAAAGTGGTGCATCTTGCGTCCCGTGGGACCATTTGCCAAAACCCGCCACTGTGTTTGTTCCCAACATAAACCATAATACTGATTTTAAAAGCCAAATCGAAAATATGTGCCTTGAACTCCCTTCCTGAATGCAGGAGGAGCAGGGACCTGTCGCGGTCCAGGTGGGAGTGCATTCCAGCTTTTGAGAATGATCCTGGAGAAAGAAAAGAAAGCACTTTTCCCAGACCAGCCTGGCCACTGGGCCTCTGTAAATCTTCAAACTGAGCAGGTTCATTAGCTGTTGCCAAGATACACAGGCCCAAATCATTGTTCTCTTTCTGCAGTCCAGTTCTTTGCAGCAGCAAGTGAGGTGGGGAAATCCAGAAATATCCTACTCATGGCGTTCTGACTGGGGCCTCTGGTTTTATATATCTGAGAGGGGAGTTCATGGAGAATAAGATGCTGGACTACATAGGCCTCTGGTCTGATTCAGTAGAGATCTCAGGAGAAACATTCTCCTATTTTTTATTATTATTACTATTATTATTATTATTAGAACATTTCTATGCCGCCCCTTGCCGAAGCCTCAGGGCGGCTTACAACACAATAAAATACAATACAATACAAAAATAACAATATAACATTAAAGTTAATAATATAAAATAAATAAAAAATATAAACGATATAAAAGAAGTTATAAAAGAAAAGAAGAGAAGAGAAAAGAAGTCGCCCTGGCCAGATAAATAAGTAAATATTTGAGGTTTCCCTTCCATGTGCTGACATTAGGGGTGTAGGAACGCCCCAGACCCCACCCACTTTTGTCCTTCTGGATATTGCACAACAACACTGTGGGATTTCCCAAGCATTTGTGGACTTGATCTTGGCTCAGCTAACTTCCTGGCAAGGGCCAAGGGAAGGAAAGACATCCAGTTAGCTCAGGAGCGCCAGATGCTGGCCTGATCTCCGCATCCCCAGCTGACAGATGCAAGAATTAAGGCCACAGTGCCAGTGCGCTGAGCCTCATGGGACGTGAACACCAGTTCCAAAGTACCACAAGGTCCTGCGGTGTCTGCATGTCTCTTCCCTATTTTTCCGGGGCAGTTCTCAGATCTTTTCTTTACCTGCTGTTGGCCTTTGGGAGGTTGCTGTTTGCGATGGTGGACTTGTAATGCCTGCGTATTCTGAACTCAAGATTAAGGAGATTTCTCTCTCTCTCTTTTTTATAAAAAAGAAACTTCCAAGCCAGAACTTATCTCCTGGCTGGAAAGAGGAGAAGAGCCATTTGTCCGGGACTCTGAAGAGCCAGAGGGAATGGGACAGGCCTGCTTAGGTGTGTGGTGAGGCTATTTCCTGTCGAGGAACAGGCGAGGTTTCTTCATTATTTTTCTAGCTTGTGTTTTCTTTCACTGAAGACGAACTATTTCTATATCAGCAAATAGCTGAAGCTGTCTGGGCATTTGCAGAGAGAGTAGCAATGCCTCTGCATGCACATCTGCTTGCTATATCTTCACCTTACCCTCTCATCAAAATCCCTTCCCTCTCCCTTATTATTATTATTAATTTCATTTCTATACTTCCCAATAACTGGAGCACTTTCCAGAATGCACAGACTGAGAGCCAATGCAGCGTAGTGTTTAAGAGCCCAGGACTGGGACTCGGGCAATCTGGGTTCTACTCTGTGCTGACTAGGTGACCACTTGCAAACTCTCAGCCCAGCCTTCCTTCCAGGGTGGCTGTTGTGGGGATAAGTCAGAGAGCAGTAGGAGGAGGAGGTATAAGCTGCTTTGAGCTCTTTAAAGACAAAAGTGGGATATAAGTCTAATAGACAGCTGCAAGGCAGAGGCTCGAGTGTTCCATCTTTCCCTCTCCACACTGCCGGCAGGGTGGGGGACCTCTTAACCTTCCAGCTTTTGTCCTCGCAACTTCCCTGTAATGGGGTGGCCCGTCTTCCACTGCAATGGGGATGGTATATTCAGGATTCGACGGACAGCCATCCAGAAGGAGGACGGAGACCTGGACAGGAGGAGCCCTCATCACTGGCTGGACGGATCAGTCAGGCATGAGGCCCCTTCCGCATTTTTAGTGCCCTGTTTGCAGTGCGGTGAGAGAAGGATGCTGCAGGGCACTGGCCCAGCTCAGGCCTCCTTTGGCTACCCGGGGCCCAACCCCTGCGGCTCATCTCTGCCAAGCTCTGTATCTTTGTCTGTGATTGCTCAGTTGGGCAGCCATTTGTCAGAGAAGCCTTAACGGGAGTCCCACATCGAGCAGGGGCTTGCATGGGACAGTCTTTGGGCCCCTTCCAGCTCTACTGTTCTATTATTTATTCCTTTCGGTTCATTTCTGTGCTGCCCAATAGCCAAAGCCCTTTGGGCCATTAGCAACACTTTCTAATACAGCAAAATAGCATAGCTAGTACAGCAACCCATTTTGATACAATTTTGTGAAGTATTTCTAGCAAACTTCAGGCGTCCTCCCCAGACAGCAGGGCCTTCCGTGCTGCAGCTGCAGACTTCCCTGTTTGGTCTCTGCCGAGGGGAGCAGCTGCGCTGGCTACCCCAGATTGGATCGGGATGTCCTCCCTGCAGCTCGGCTTGTCTTTCTGGTGGGCTTCAGCTTGGCCAAACAGAGAGGAACCAGGACGATCTTGGAGATATTAAAATAAGAAAAGCAGCTAAGCAGCCTGTATTACTTGCGAGAAGCTCGGTTTCCCACTTGCATTCCTAAAGGGGTTTTCCTTCCCTTTTCCCTCACTGTAAGCAGGAGATAGGCAGAAGAAGGCGGCAACCCTGATGGCATCTCCAGTAAACCACCACAAAGCTGGAAAACAGATGTTTGCAAATCCAATGGGATCAGAAGGGCAGGAGGAAAACCAATCAAAGGCTGGGGAAACTGTAACTTCTCTTTTCCAAGGTACTGAAATCTATGGACTCCTAATCTCACAAGATCACAAAGAAAGGAGAAGGAAAATGTGTCCAGTGTGTGGGAAAACGTTCAAAGATAAATCAGCCTTAAGTAGCCATTGCAGAACTCATACAGGAGAAAAACCATATGAATGTGGGGAGTGTGGAAAAAGCTTCAGTCGGAATCAAAATCTTATTCGTCATAAAATCATTCACACTGGGGACAAACCATATAAATGCATGGAGTGTGGAAAGAGCTTCAGTATGAGTATTAATCTTACATCACATCAAAGAACCCACACAGGAGAAAAACCTTATAAATGTACAGACTGCGGAAGGAGCTTTCGTCATCGTAGTAGTCTCACTGAACATCAGAGAATGCACACAGGGGAGAAACCTTATACATGTATGGAATGTGGTAAGAGTTTCAGTGTGAGTGGTAGCCTTACTTTGCATCAAAGAAGACACAGTGGGGATAAACCATATAAATGCATGGAATGTGGAAAGAGCTTCAGCGCTAGTGGCAATCTTAATAAACATCAGAGGACCCACACAGGAGAAAAACCATATAGATGCATACAGTGTGGAAAAAGCTTCCGTTTGAGTGGTAACCTTACTTCCCATCAAAGAACGCACACTGGGGAGAAACCATACAAATGCGTAGAGTGCGGGAAAAGCTTCAGTGAGAGTGGAAGCCTTACTTCCCATCAAAGAACACACACTGGGGAGAAACCGTACAAATGCATGGAGTGTGGGAAAAGCTTCAGTATGAGTGGAAGCCTTCGTTCACATCAAAGAATGCACACGGGGGAGAAACCATATAAATGCATGGAGTGTGGGAAAAGCTTCAGTATGAGTGGAAGCCTTCGTTCACATCAAAGAATGCATACTGGAGAGAAACCATACAAATGTATGCATTGTGGGAAAAGCTTCAGGGTGAGTGGAAGCCTTAGTTCACATCAAAGAATGCACACTGGGGAGAAACCATACAAATGCATGGAATGTGGGAAAAGCTTCAGGGTGAGTGGAAGCCTTAGTTCACATCAAAGAACACACACTGGGGAGAAACCATACCAGTGCATGATGTGTGGAAAAACTTTCAGGTGGTGCCAGCAGCTTACAACACATGAAAGAGTCCACAAGGAAGAAGCCACCTTAAATGCATGCAGCATGGAAAGACCCTCAGTGATGAGTGACCACTTACTAGCCATCAAAGTACCTACACTGACAAGAAATCATGTGAACGTATGGACAGAAGTACTACAGACTGGATAAGACCTAGTGCAGCACTGGGGAAATGCCATTGCCCTTCCCCTCAGGATCGTTATGGCAGTGAACTCACAGCTGCCCTTTATTCTTGAAAAGTCCAGTGGGAGGAAATCTTGTCCAAAAATGTGTCGTGAGTATTACATTTAGTTGGCAAGAGCAAGTCAAAGAATTTGTATTCAAACTTCTTAGATGCTACTGGGACAATACTGAGTGGCTACTTCCCAGTCTTACACTATTTTTCTCACAACATGACCTGCCAGAGTGTGGGGTGAATACAGCCGGTTGTTGAATCAACCCAGCAGCCGTGGGCTGTTCCACGATTCAGACAACACAGTGCTCCATGGTTCAGTGAGTCAGCCCACACTCAACCCATACCCTGGTTTGCTTCATTGGACAAACTGGCTCTCAAGAATTTAACTGAAGCAGTGCCTAGAAATGAGAGAATTTGAGTAATTTCCTTTCCGGAATCAAAAATAATACGAAGCAGACATATGTCATTTTTTCTTACTTTATTAAAAAAAATATCTGACAGAATGTTCTCTAGCTGCATTCTTATTCGTGACTGCTCCAGAACCGTTCACTTCATTGCACTGAGAAAATCCTAAAAGTGTTGCAGCCTGTTGGCAATAGTGTAAACAGTGCCAGTCCTGTGGTGAAGCTGACTCCAACTCCCAGCATTCCCAGTCACCCGTGAAGGCTGGGAGCTGCAGTCAGCTGGGCGCGACGGCGGGCTGGGAGCTGCAGTCCACCACATGTACTGGTGGATCATGTACTGCCAGACTGAAGGCAGTGGATCGAGGTGCTGCAAGATCGCTGCGAGGAGGCAGCATGCACTCCAAGGAGCTTCTTGTCCGTAGCGCCATAACCGCAGCGTGCTGTTGACCCGGAACGCTCTGAGGTGGAGTTTCCCCCAGGGTTTAAGCGGCCCCCATTCCCTTCGCGAGAGGGAGTGCGTTCATGCATTCACAAGGCTGCGCTTGTGCGCAGTTGCGTCTTCGGCAGACATGCTTGGGAAAGGCCTTGTTGGAACGGGATCCCCCATATGCACATGGGGGCACCCACAGGGTCTAATCGGCACGTCCTTTCTGCACTAGAAAGCCACGAGTGGAGAGGTACCCGCGAACATGTGCCGTGTGCTGTTCATTGAACTGCATTAGGTAGGAAACAGATTATACGTAGCTCCTGAGTAGACCACACAGACAGGTGCACCGCAGGGTTTACATGGGGCTTCCGTTGAAAACGATCCGGATACTTCAATTGCTGCAAAATAGAGCTGCCAGGCTGCTGACGGGGGCCGGCCGTTGAAGTCCGGACCCAATTCAAGGTGCTGGTATTAACCTATAAAGCCCTAAATTGCTTGGGACCAGAATACCTGAAGGAATGTCTCCTTCCCTACACAGCCTAATGCCCCTTAAGATTGGCAGGAGAGGCCTTGCTCCGGGAACCCTCTTTGAAGGAGATATGGAGGGCATCTACTTGGAGAAGGGCCTTCTCTGTGGTGGCACCGAGACTGTGGAATGAGCTCCCCAGGGAGGTTTGCCTGGCACCAACTTTATACTCTTCGGCGTCCAGTAAAGACCTTTTCACTCAGCCATCATTTCAATTGGCAGGCAGGGCAGGTGATAGAGGACCAGCGTTATATGAGAATAATGACTGGTCCTCATCAGCAACCTGGCAGCTCTATTTTGTACCAGTTGAAGTATCTGGACTGTTTTCAAGGACAGCCCCACATGGAATGTGTTACAGGAATCCACTGGGAAGTTACCAGGGCATGTGTCACTCTCTCTGGGCAGTGCTCATCCAGGTAAGGACGCAGCTGATGGACCAGCCAGAGCTGGAGGAAGGCGCTCCTCGACACCGCTGTCACCTGGGTTTCCAGGGATAGCTCTGGGTCAAGGAGCACTCCCAAGCTGCAGACCCTGTCCTTTAGAGGGAGTGCTACCCCATCCAGGACAGGATCAAAATCATTTACCTGAAAACCCAAACCGACCACCAAAAGGACCTCTGATCTGGATTGAGTCTCAGTTTATTGGCCTTCATCCAGCCCATTACCTCAGCCGGGCACTGGTTCAGTACAGCCACTGCCTCACCTGGAGTAGATGTAAACGAGAGGTAGAGCTGGGTGTCATCAGCATACATAAAAATATGTATTTTTATATATCTTGTAAGCCATTCTGAGTGCTTGAAGCGATAGGACGGGGTATACATGGATATAATAAATACTGATGACTCCGCAGCCCAAACCTCCTGATGACCTGTCCCAGCGGTTTCATGTAGATGTTAAACAGCAAAGGGGACAGAATGGACCCCTGCGGTACTCCATGGCATAGCTGCCATGGCGCAGAGCCATAGTCCCCCAGCACCACCTTCTGGAATTGACTGGCCAGATAGGAGCGGAACCACTGCCAAGCAGATCCCCCAACTCCTAGCCCGGCCAGCCTCTCCAGAAGGATACCATGGTCGATGGTATCGAAAGTCCAGGAGAAACAACAGGCACGCACTCCCCCTGTCCCTCTCCCTGCACAGGTCATTTTACAGGGCAACCAAGGCAGATTCAGTATCATAACCAGGCCTGAAATGGATCCAGATCATCTATGTGATGGTTTTCCTAATGTGGAGGAAGGTATTCAGGCCCTGTGCTGTCTGTATATAGTTAGCTCAAAAAATCTGCGAGATGGTTGAAAAAAGCACAATCGGCCACTATCCCTGGTCCCTCTGGAGGGAAGACCGTGCAGCTTTCTGATGCAAAGATGGATTTAAGAGTCGCTGTAGTGGGGTACATTTGGCCCAGTGCACTTACAGACAGTGTGGAACGACGGAGCCTCAGCAGCAGAATTCAAGAGCCACGTGCGGCTCCAGAGCCGCGGGTTGCCGACCCCTGGGCTAGGCTGAGAGTTCACTCAGTGAATGTCATGGCCAAGGGGGAACTAGTACCTGAGTCTCCCCAGTCCTGGTCTTAACCCTCTCACTGCTACACCACACTGGAACTATGGACTTGTTTGGACTTAGTTTGTGTTCTGAACCCAAATCTGCGTGGGCCTGTGGCTGGGAAAGCCAGAGGCTGATTCTGCTTGAGGAACTAACAGGTCTTCCATCGATTTATACAGGGAAGGCAAAGACTTAGTGTCCTGCACTAGCAGTAGGTTGGACCTGATGGCTTTTTGGCCCCTTCCAACTCTACTCTTCTACGATGCAAAGCCAGTTCTTGGAATGAGTGCAACAAATTCCTTACTGAAATCTGAGTTACTGTGTGAGCAAGTCAGAACCTGACAGTCTCTTCTGCCATGGAAATACCTCTAGATGCCACTGCCAACTATTGCAAAGAAAATAAATCACGGATCTCTGGAGAGGGGAAGCAGGTGGCTCCCCATCTCTTATATGAGAGCCAGTGTGGTGTCGTGGTTAAGAGCGTGGGACTGGGACTCAGGCAACCTGGGTTCTAGTCCCCGCTCAGCCATGGAGCCAACTGGGTGACTTTGGGCCAGTCACAGACTCTCAGCCCAACCTACCTCACAGGGTGGTTGTTGTGGGGATAAGATGGAGGAGGAGAATGACGTAAGCTGCCTTGAGCCCTTTGTAGGAAAAAGGCAGGATATAAATCGAAAAATATATAAATACAAAACCAGCAAGAAAAACAGCAATGGGTGGGAGTCCTATTATGCATCTAGGAATTACCAGCCTCCCGCTTCTGGGGATGGCTTTTAAACTGTCTCCTAGCTAACAGAGTTGCAATGGTTCCACTATTCAGTGGCATCTGATGCACCATCATGATTTCATTATATTGAGCAGGAGAGTAGTGTTCCAGGGTTTGCAGTCCAGGATTTATTTTCTTAGTTGTTAGATGCAAAGTCGCGTCTGACCCATCGCGACCCCATGGACAACATTCCTCCAGGCCTTCCTGTCCTCCACCATCTCCCGGAGTCCACCCAAGCTCACACCAACAATTATTAAATTTATTTTTAAAACATACACAAAGAGGAAAAAGAAACTGAGAAGTGGCCAAAATCCCACAGAGGTAAAAAGAAATAGCATACTTGCTAATCATATCCCCTTGATAATTCTAGTTTTTTCAAAATGAGTACTCTTTGTTGCCCTAGTCGCCGCATGCCATCAAGTCGGCTCCAACTCATGACTGAGTCTGTGGATGAATGTCCCAGTTGCCCCATCCTTCACAGCCCCGCTCAGCTCTTGGAAACGGAAGCATTCCAGTTGCGATAAAGAAGTGGGTGCATTTGCCTATGTAAATCATTATGTTGTTATTACATGGTATTTCTATCCTGACCCTTCTTCTCTTGTGAGGAACCCAGCATGGCTTGCTTAGCCATCCTCCTATGAACTGTCTCCTCACAACAACCCTATGCGGCAGATCAGACTGAAAGTGAGTGCCTGGCCCAGTACGTCTTCTAAGAACCCTTTCCAAAATGAAGGGGGAAAGGAGGTCTGCCTTTGCCTCCAGGCACACCAAAGTATCTTAAATTTAACATACTTAACAGTGAGCTTTTCCTTTTGGCAAAAGCCAAAAAGTTTTTCAAATTCCTTTTCAGCCTGATTGCATTGGAGCACAGTCATTTTCATCATTCACACTGTACAGCTACGGTTGCCTATTTTAGGGGAGGGAGGGGAGATGGCTTGGTGCGATCCAAGTCATTTTGGGAACCATCCATTGTGGCTGGCGGTAAACTTGCAAGCGCAGAAGGGTTACAGGCATCTCTTGTAGGGCAGGAGAAGTACAGCAACTCGGGTCACCTCTGTGTTCCCTCTGCACTCCCCACACCCCCCAAAGTCAGCTAAGAAAAATCAGCATGCAAGGAAAAGAGATGCTGCCAGGACTCCCGGAAGGATGGGCTGCCTCACTTCTCCACTCCCCAGCCCCTGGAAGGCCTCAAAAATGCCATTCCCCTTCGGAGCCCAGCCAGCGTGGAACGAACTGGCTGCAAGGGTGGAGGGTGCTTGCAGCTGGGACCCCAACCTAACCCATGTCCCACCAATGTAAAACCTGAGCAGAACCATCCTTGTTTGACCTCTCTGGTTATTTTAAATCTGTTTTTAAAATAATACAAGTACAAAATACGTCATACAACAGAAAAAGAACACAAGGTACACAACAAACCTACACACACCCCCCCACGTATTTTGTGCATTCTTCCACTGGGACCATGGCTGTATATTTTTTTCCTTCATTTTTCTCCTCTGCTTCTATCTCTTACTTTCTGCTCTTTTAGGAATATCCCCTTCTATCCAAAATTGCATTGCACCAGCCAAGAGGTTAATACCATTCCCTTTTATTAGTACATATTCAATAAACAAACACCATATACTGTATCATTAAAACCATTCTTTATGAATCCTTTTTTCACCCCAATCACATGCTTCAACTTATTAACAGGTATATTCCAAACTTCTTAATAGTATTCAATTAACTAAAGACCCCATTTCTCCTCCTAATTCTTTGCTATTATCAGTTTTGCTGCTGTTACCAAATTTATTTATTCTTTAATTTTCTGTTGCTTTACATAAAATATTAACAGCAATGCTATTTCAAGATATGCTTCAGTGTTTAAATTCAATATCTTGCTAATCTTAAAATCATTATCCAAAATGTCTTACTATTTTCACAATCCCACCACATACTGAAATAGGTTCTGTAACGATCAGCTGCCACCTAGCAGTTTATTTATTTAAAACTTTTGTATGTAATCCTGCATGCAAGGCATCTTGGGACGACTCACAATCAATACATTGAAACAATCCTAGCAATAAAAGCATATATCCAGTTGGCTGTGTTCACTCCCCGCCTCCCAATCCCTGGGGCCAGACACTGGATTCAGCACACGACAGCCCGAGCATGGGGGAAAAACAGGATTATTAAAAGGACAATTAGACCAGGGCTATTTTTTTTGTCATAGAACGCACCGGAACGGCGTTCCGGCACTTTTTGGACGGATTTTTCCAAGTGATTGCGAATCACTTTGTGTATCACTTTGCCACCGATCTGCTACGTCCTGTTGGGCGGCAGCAAAAATCATTAACATAGTGCCTGCGGGCTGTTTGTGTGTGGGTGGATTGTGAGGGCGCTGCTCGCTGCTCGGCTTGGGATCGGTTGTGTGCTGGCGCGCTGACTCAGCCGGCGGCGACCATTGTGTAAAAGTGTGACCCCAAGACGTGAGTTCCGGCACCTTTTTTTTTTCCACAAAAAAAGCACTGAATTAGACAATATAGGGGTGGAGAGTCTTGAAACACCACATCGCACAAGACAAGGGTAGGGAAGGGAAGGGGGAATTGGAAAGCAGCAATTACACTGGGCTCACCCCGTTTGGCTCCCCACGAGACACCCAGGCTGCTTGGCCTCCTTGGACTAAAATGGAGCTCGCTGTTCCTGCCACTAAGGGAGAGTACAATCTCCAGCGTAGCCTCCTTCCTTGCACGGGGCTCCTCAGCGGAGCCTGTGGAAGCAACAGAGGAACCTGACTCTGTCCCAGCTCCCTGCTCTTATCCATTAGCTCAAACAGATGAATCAGGAGTGACACATCTCCTGACATTACCCAGCTGACAATCATACACCTTCTGGTCGTGAGAGAGTGAGAGAGAGAGAGAGAGAGTGTGTGTGTGTGTGTGAGAGAGAGAGAGACAGACAGACAGACAGACAGACAGAATGATTCCCTCCTTGGAAGTAATCAAGGTCTTTTTGCATTCTCATCACTGGGCCGGAATGCTCAGGGTTAACCCTTCCTTCCCCGGGGGCCTTGAACCTGTCCTTTGCTACAGGTACCCAATTTTTATCCACATCTCCAACATCAATTAGAATATTTATTATCCATATAGAATAATTTTACTGGTGTCATGGACTATTTCCATACTAATATATAAAAGTTTTCTTAAATTCTAATTGACATTTTGATATTCTCTTATCCCATATTTTCCCCCATTCTTCCTTGTCTATATGCTTCCCTAAATCAATTTCCCCTAAGTTTTTTAAAAAATTATATATGTCCTCCCTGTCTAATAAAATCTTATGTCTCATTTATAATCCCATTTGCATATTCCCTTGAATCTCCAGATACTTCACAACCTCCTCAAATTTGGTAAGGGCTCTACATTTACCATTTTTCTTCAACCTTTCTCTAGTCCATTGTTCCAACCACATAACATTAAACCAGGTTAATTTTCCTTTCCCAAATAGTGCCAATATCCTTTCCTCGTTATCCATTTTCTCCATCCAATCTTTTATCCTATTTTTCTTTTAATGCCTTTCTTAAGCTGTCTCTCAAATTTTCGGGGAATCATTTAATTTCTATAACTGGAATTACTGTGAGAATGTTGACATAAATTCTTCCCTGTACTTCTTCCAAACTCGCATCATTTCTAAAAAAGGGAGTTTCTATCTTTTTTACAGTAATTTTATCCTGTTTGAGGGATCTTTTTGCAGTCGTCTTCTTAATTTCCTGTTGTTCTATTTCTGCCCATATTATCTTATCAGGCTGAAATATGATATTTGGTTTAAATATTGATTCACTTCATAATATAGTTTAATATTCAGAATACCTAATCCTCCCTCTTTCTGTGGCTTATAACTTCTTTTCATACTAATCCTTGGTTTCTTATTTCCATTACAAAATTTATTAATTTTTTTTTGCCAGTCTTCTAATGCTTTCCCTAATATCCTAACTGGCAACATCCCAAATAAAAAAATAATCTTAGGTAACATTTTCATTTTAAAACTGCTATCCTGCCAAACCTAGAAAATCCTATTTTCCTAAATTGCTGCAATTTCTTCTTTATTTCAGATTTTTATATATCAGTTTTTTAGACATTCTGTATTTTTTGAGCTATTTGTACCTAGGTATTTAATAATAGTACATATTTTAATTCGAAATTTATTCTTAATTCCCTCCTTTTCTTCTCCATTGCAATTAATCAACTCAGATTTATCCCAGTTATCTTGTAAATTTGTTATCTTACCAAATTCCACCAAATGATTTTTAACCTGATCCATAACTTTAAATGGGTCCTCAATTGTTAACAATGTATCATCAGCAAATACATTACACTTTTATTTTTAAGTCCAATGATGATGACATTTCTTACACAATTTGCTAGTAATTCTGTAACGAAAGGAAACATCATTGGTGAAAGATGGCATCCCTGTCTAGTGCCTCAGCGCAAGGACATTCCTTCTCTCAAACTATCATTAACTGTCACAGTTGCAACATTTTCTGAGTGTAATTGATTTATTGCGCATTTAAACAGTGAACTAAATCCTAATGTCTCTATCAACATCTTTATTGCTGGCCATTTCATGCAATCAAAAGCTTTAAAATATCTAATAGCTATTAGGCCTGCTTTTAACCTTTCCCTTTGATATAAATTCCCTTACATCTAATACTCTTCTAGTCAGATTTGACTACTATAAAACCACCTTGATGCATATTTATCAATAAAATTATTCAATCTTTTGGCAAATTTTGCTGCAATTTTTTTTGCATCTTGGTTTATCAAAGATATAGGTCTATGCACTCCAGGATCTGTCAAATCCTTATTAGGTTTTGATATCAAAACTATTAAAGAATATCTCCTAGAGGCTGGGTTCTCTCCATCATACAATATGCTATTAAAAATAGATTTTAATTTTGACACCAGTAACTGTCGGAATGCCTTATAAAATTCTGATGTTAATCCATCCACGCCTGGACTATTCTCCACTTCTAAATTATCAGTAACTTCTTCCATCTCCTCTTCTCTAACCACCTGTTCCATTAGATCTCCATCTTCCTTCCACAATTTATTTCCAACATTCCTTTCTATATATGATCTAATTTTATCTATTGGCAACTTCCCAGCTACATATAGCTTCGAATCCAATCTATAAAATATTCTGAACTTTTCTTTCATTAAATTAGTGATTACTGTGATTACTAGTGCCTGTGAGATTCCACCGGCTGCTCTTTTCCTCTTGTTAATTACCTTTCTTTTGATCTGCACCATCGATCACCAGTTCTTGAATCTGCACCAATGCGCAAACCTTTCTTAGGGTTTCTTGACTTCCTGATCTTCTCCTTCTTCTGTTCCCATTCACTCAATAGGCTTTTGCCCTATTCTGTCGGATTTATGATATAAATCCTCCCCTTGTCATGAACACTGGGTATCCCCAGCTATATTTGATGCTATTCCTCAATAGCAGACTCTTAATTAGTCTCAATGACTATCTAAACTGTAAAGTCTGGAAGCAGAGATCTTGGTAGACCTGAACTGGGACTCCTTTGAATTTCAATTGACCTGATTTTTCTCTCATTATTTTCATAACTCTTACTTGTAATAATTTGAGAATCTGATCAAAACATCTCTTGGAAACATCCTGGCTCCTCACTTACAACCAACAGAATGTATCCTTTCGAAGTCATCTTGATTCCGTTTTACATTTTCTTTAATCCAATCATTTTAAGTTTCTTCTGATAATTGTTCTGGAAGATTCTTAATTTAAATGTTTCATCTGCCATATGAATCCTGCAAGGAAATAACTACTTTATCTAGTTCAGATATTTTGTTGCCTGATGATTGAATTGTATTGTATTAGCCATCACTGCTTCCTTGGTCTCTTGTCCAGACAGTATTTCTTGCTCCAGTCTTGAGTAGTTTTAAAATTATCCTCTTTGAGTAATATTTTGAACTCTCCATCCTCTTTCCAATCTTTTTATTATTTTCCAATACTTTAATATTCACCATCTTTTCCTTCTCATCTGCCTATCTTCACCTCCACTTTGAGCTTCCTCCTTTCTGTCACCCTCAACTGCCCCTGTATCTGATTCTTTATCAAATTCTTTGTAAGCTTGTGCAATCTTGGAAAAGTAAAAATCAAGTGGTCATGCTAAACATCTCTGAACTGGCTGGGATTTCTGTGATCTAAGCTGCCGTCGAGACTTTTAAAAGTGTATGCTTCTTGCGTAAGTTACGTCATCAAATCAGGAACTCAGTTCCTTCCGCTTCCCTTCAGTCTTATCAGTGCCACGATCTGTGTTTTTAGCACATTCAGGTATTTAAGCAATGTTGTTTTTATTAAATGCCAGTTAGTAGACTATAGTAAAAGGCAGTAAAACTCCCTTTATGTGAATTCTTGCAGAGTTCTGGTATTCATCCTGGAAGGGGAGAGGGAGGAATCTTCCCGTAGATTTTCAAAGCTCAATTTCTCAGAGTCCATAAGTTGATGCCCCAGTATTCTGGTCTTTTCAAAAGGCAGATACCTTCCCCTTTACCTTGCATCCAAGATCATGCTATTTATCCAAGTAGGTCCATCCAATTAGAATGGCATTTGGAGAGAGAGTGAAATTTAGTGACCGACTGTCACCATGACTGGAAGTTCCCCCTCCAACCTTTTTGGTTAGATAGGACTGATGAATGTCTGAGAAAAGCTAACACTTACCCTCATTATTTGTATACTACTACCAAATCAGAAAAAGCAGTCCCTTATTTAATATTTCCTTTTATTTCTGTATCACTAAATAGCCAGAATATAAATGCAGATAATAAAATACATTATTTTGTAAATTTTCTTCATGAAAAAATTAACAGCTAATAACAATGTCACTAAAAACACTGAATGATAAAGATACCTAATACAAATTCCCCATCCTATGCCTGATTTTTTATATATATATATATATATATTGCTTTCCAGGAAATGGAGGTGTGCTGGGGACTTAGCCATGTCCTTCTTGTTGTTGGTTGAGAAGTCGCGTCCGACCCATCGCGACCCCATGGACAACACTCCTCCAGGCCTTCCTGTCCTCCACCATCCCCTGGAGTCCACTCAAGCCCACGCCAATTGCTTCAGTGACTCCATCTTATAAGCAACCAGAAGGATAAAAAATGTTTTCCTTCCCCCCGTTCTGTGATTCAGTTTTGCCAAGTAACAGGTCCCATACATGTTCACACAAGGGGCCTCCTTCCTCCCTAGGAACCTTTCAGTGATTGAGGGGCAGCTGTGAATTCATGGCCAAGATGATCCTGGCGAAAAGGAAATGGCATTTCCCCTGTGCTGTGGTCCTTTAAGCCCATTGCATCCCCAGTACTCCTTTCTACTTTCCATACATTTGTATGAGTTCTTTCTGGTGTGTGTGTTTGGATGATTGGTGTGGGATCCTATATTACTGAAGTTCTTTCCTTGCTTGATGCTTCCCCAGGGTGGGTCCTTTCATATATAGTAAGTTGCTGGCACTGACTGAAACTTGTTCCACATGTCATGTTCTTTCATGGTTTCTCTCCAATGTGGATTCTTTGATGAGTGTTAAGATGTTGACTTTGTCTGAAGGTTTTTCCACACTGTGTGCATGTATATGGTTTCTCCCCTGTATGGGTTCTCTGATGTACAGTAAGGCTACAACTTGTACTGAAGCTCTTTCCACAGTCCACACACTTATATGGTTTCTCCCCTGTGTGTGTTCTTTGATGTATAGTGAGGCTGTGCCTCTGAGTAAAGCTCTTTCCACACTCTGTACATTTATATGGCTTCTCCCCTGTGTGGGTCAATTGATGTTTATTAAGGTTTCCATTGTGAAAGAAGCTCTTTCCACATTCAATGCATGTATGTGCTTTGTCCCCTCTATGGGTCCCTTTATGTTGAAGAAAATTTTGATTCCTCTTGAAGCTTTTCCCACACTCTGTGCATTCATATAATTTTTCTTCTGTATGGGTTCTACAACGTCGATTCCATCTTGATTTACCAAATATTTTCTCACAAATTTCCCTTTTTTTCTTTGTAATCTTGTAGGATTGAGCATTCATAGATTTCATGATGCTGAAAAGGAGAAGATTTCTTCTCTCCATTGTTTGACTGGTTTCCCTCCTTTCTTTCTGATCCCCCAAACTTTTTTCCTGCTTCATGGTTGTGCATTTGTGACGACACCAGGGCTGGCTCCTTAGAATTCTCATTTTTCTGCCCATCACTCACTTGTGGGGAGAAAGCAAAAGAAAAACCTCATTAGGAACTGAAGCAGGAAACCAATGTTCTTGCAAGTAATGCCAATTAGCTACTTTTCTTATTTTAATAACTGCAGGATTTATTCTCATTTCTCTCTGTATGGACAAACTGAAACCTAGGTTAACTTGTGAGTATGTTATCATCTCCAACAATAATGCCATTTGCTTTCTGATCTATTTCCCACTGCATTAATTGTGCACAAAAGGGAGTAGTTACCATAATGGTATCAGTGTTCATTTATTTATTTCTTCTTTGATTTATATCCCGCCTTTTTCCTACAAAGGGCTCAAGGCAGCTTACATCTCCTCCTCCATCTTATCCCCACAACAACAACCCTGTGAGGTAGGTTGGGCGGAGAGTCTGTGACTGGCCCAAGGTCACCCAGTTGGCTCCATGGCTGAGCGGGGACTAGAACCCAGATCCTCTGAGTCCCAGTCCCATGCTCTTAACCACTGCACCACACTGGCTCTCATACAACTGTATGCTGAGTGTAGAAAAAAGGAGACTGAACTTGAGCAAGTGACCGAAAGGAGGACATGCTCACTGCTCTTTGCCACCTAATGAAGTGGCCATAGCCATACAAAGATATGCCTGAACACAGAAGTGGCGCTGGCCCAGCAAGGCCACCAAGAGGCTGCTGTGCGATTTTATACTGTGAGGGGAATTCTTCACCACTGAATACTCTACAGGACATGGGGAGAGAACCCCTATCTGGGGGCCACATCCAGTCCCCTGGAATTTCCTAGATGGCTATGCCCCCTTTCCTGTCTTTTGTGCAGGCTTCTCCCCCTTTTAAAAGGTCAAATCACCTCTTTTAAGGGCTTGCTACTCATGCTAAAAGTGGTGGGTGAAGCCCCATTGGTGAGGGAGTTCAGGGAGAGCCTAGACATGCACATAGTAGGCATGTCGAGAGTGGGGCTGGCTGGAGCCGGGGGGTCAGACTAGATGGCCCAGGAGGCCCCTTCCGCCTTGCTCTGTTTCTCTTATGCTGGTATTTTGGCCCTGCCCTTTTGCCCCCTGCCCAGCTTCTCCCAAACAGGATTTGGCCTTTGGACTGAAAGAGGGTCTTCCCACCTGCAACAGGGCACGGGCGTCCACTGCAGGTGCTGCTCCCACGACCAGGGAGCCGATTCTCCCTGTCCAGTTCTGTTCGATCCACAACAGGCACGTGCTCCAAAAGAGGCAAGGGCCACGTCCTGGAGCAGCGGATGCAACTCAGGATGGGTCGCAACCAGGCTCCGAAGCCAAGGAAAGGCTGCAGAATACGCGCCAGTCGGACTGCAGAGCAAGCTGCGTGAACTCACAGCATCGCAGAGACGTGCGGTAAGGGGTGGGGCTCAGGATCAGCTGAGTGAGTGCTCTGCTAGAGGGGTCCCAGATCGCCCTCATCTCCCGGTCTTGCAAACAGCACACCAGTGATGCTAAAAGAGCCCCAGCTGGACACACCCGTCCCAGCGCCTCATCCTGCGGCATCAGGTATCCCAAGTGATCTGCCCAGCCTTTGAGACAGGACCCTCCTGCCTAGGCCTTTCTCACAAGGGGCTACTTTGCCAGTGTATTGTAGGGACAAATATATCTTTGGTCATGCTGCAATATGGAAGGAGAGCTTCAGAACCAGACCGGTTTCTCTGAGATAATATCATTTCACATGAAGAGAATGACTGACTGAATAACCTATGATGCACTCCATGCAATCTCTGAAGCACTTTGGTGCATGCAAAATAAAGATGGCGACAGGCCCTGTTCCCAGGATCTATCAGCCTGGCCCAGTGAGACCCTTACCAAGAGATGCCAGATTCCTATAATTCTCCTCCATGACTTCCTGGTACAACGCTCCCTGGTCTGGATCCAGCAGAGCCCACTCCTCCTTGGAGAAATGCACAGCCACCTCCTCAAAAGTCACTGGGTCCTGGAGGAGGAAAGAGAAAATCAATCGTTTCTCCTGGAAGCAAATGTAGTAGTGCAACAAGACAGTAACATGGTGAGGTAGCTGCAAGTTCTCCAGCAGGATCCAACGCTAGACCAGCAGTTCTGAAATTAAAGTCCATGTGAAGAACTATTGGAAAAGGGGCAGAAAATGTAATTGCCATTATTCAATTGCCTCGATGCAATCTAGGTCACAACCAACCCTCAAATTCATTTTACATTCCCTTCACCAAAAGGGATATTGTAGAATAGGAAAAAGTACAAAAAAAGTAGAACCAAAATTATTAAGTACGAAGAAAGTGGACAGGGAAAGGTTTTCACTCCCACACAGTACGAGAGCCCAAGCGAACAAGTCAGGGCAGAGAAGCGCAGCTCTTTGCCCAGCTTCAGCAGAGACACAAAAGGGAAATGGAGGCAACCCTTTGGGGTGGCACCTGCAACTCTTGCGAGAAATTCCAAATGCCCTCAGAAGGAGCATAACATATAGTAAAATGCTTGCTCAGCACCAGATCGGGGTGATGTCTGTCAGGCGAGACTGCATCAAGATGGAGCCAGCAACAAAGAAGAGCTGTTTATCAGGATGGTGGAACCCCCCACCCCCCGCTTCTGCCCCAGACCAGTTTATTTTCCAATGGGCTGGAATAAAACTTCTGTATTCCAGTATCTGGAGGCACAGTCCCCTCTTTATCACTGATTTGTACTGGATACTTTCCAGTTTGGAGCAGGAGGGTTTACCTCATCATTAAAAGAAGCTAGATAAATTCACAGGGCCAAAGCTACCAGCAATTCCCAGCTGGAATTAATACCTCCAGGATCAAAACTGCATGTTAAGGACAAAAGCATTGCTGATTAAGAACAGCTGTTGGTTTCATTCTGTGGGGCTCTTCTTTTCAGGACCAGGAGAGAGCCCCCCCCCCCCAAAAAAAGCCTAAAATATACTTCTCGTACCTGATCTGGCCATACAGCAATCCCTTCTGGTCCTACAGCAGAAGCCACTGAAGAAAATCCAAGCTTCCTTCTTTCACCTGTGCAGAAAACAGAGCAGGTGCATAGTTGCATTATCCTTGATAAACAGTGGGCATCCTTGTTCCTGGATTGCAATTCATCTTCAGTTATTGCCAACAGGAAACTTAGAAAATAAGGATGCAATGCTGTGCATCTCTGAACAAAAAACTCCTAAGGCTCTGGTATCCTTCAGCCATCAAGGCTGGCTAGGGCAGGCTGGGAGTTACCAGACTTACTTCTCTTTAAACCTGCATAGGATTACAACCTTGCACACACACAGAGTCAGAGTATATTCAAATAGTATCAAAAGTTCCTAATCATATTGTAAAATTATGTTTCAAACATGTTAAGCAAATTCCTCATTTTAATTCATTTACACAATGCAGAAATGAGGACAGGCCTAGATAGGTCCCTGGGGGTTCCCTAGCAGCCCCGAAGGCCTCTTTCGTTATCTTCAATCAATGACTGGAGTTGCAAGAACATTTAAAGACCATGACTATTTAAATACCCTGCAGAACTATTCCTTTTGCTGAGCTGTTTGTGCAACTGAACTTGTTATATTTTGAACATACATGCAGAGTAATTTTTTGCATTTTCTCCAATCCTTGTGAAATATAGCATTTATTTGCAAATTAATTTATTAGTCAGCTTTCCCCCATGCCACAAAACCTATTCACATACAAGCCATATAAAATGGCACCATAATAAACACAAGACTATACTATTTGAGCTTTTTCCTGCTAGAAGAATGAAGTGTACCATTGATCGATCTGGTCCTGCTTACTTGTGAGGAAACATTCAGCTGAGTGGGGTAGTGCAAACTGGTGATCTGCACCAGCAGTGGGCTGGAATGGATGGCCTTCTTGGCCCCTTCCAACTCTCCCGTTCTGCATTGCTCATGCCAATGTCTCAGAATGACATGCAGAGGTTTGTCCTGCTTGCTTCTGGGGAAGCTTAAAATCAATGGGAATAGCATTTGTCCCCATCAGTTTCCTCCTGTCCCACCCACAGCTGGAATGCAGCCCCTGAAACCATTGCCAGGCTAGAAGTTGGCTGTTTCTGTGAAAAAGGTCTCCCTTCCCTGAGTCAGATGCAGAGGGAACCTGAACCAAATAATCAGACGACCCAAAACCAAGAGGAGTAGCTAACATTAGTCATTAGTTCAAAAATGGAAAACTTTTGCTCCAATAAAAACTTTGCAGCAACCAACGCAATGAAATTTAACTGAGACAAAGGCACAGTTCTGCATTCAGGCAAAAGCAAAATTGGAGAATGGTCTGATATTTGTAGGTAAGAAAGGGACCGTGAGATGGTAGCTGACTGTGAACTGAACCTGAGTGAGTTGGCAGCAGAAAAAGCTAATGCATTTTTGCATTGCATTAGAACCAGAAAGGAAGCAACAGTTTCACTTTGGACAGAACTCATCTGGAACTAAGTCCAGTTCTCAGTGACACATTTTAAGGTGAATAGCGAAAAACTGGAATAGGTTCAGAAGACAAGGAAAATCAGCATTATTGAAAACAAGTTACAGGAAAGAAAGGTTGAAGAAACTGGAGGTGTTTGTTTAGCCAGGAAACAAGAGGAAAAATTTGACTGCAATCTTCCAATACCTGAAAGACTGCCGCACTGAACAAAGTCTTGTTCAGTTCTCAGCTGGCCAAAAGGGTAGGACATAACCTATCAGACTTCAGTTATAGGAGGGGAGATTTAGACTGAACATTAGGAGAAACTTTTTGACAGTATGATCATCTGAACAATAGAACCAATTTGCTGGAGTGGAACACCCAAAGGCTAGTGACCTGTTACAGGTGCTCTAAGGTGGACTTTCCACCATGGAGCGGGGCATGGATTAGATCACCTTCAAGCCCCCTTCCTCCCATGTAATTCTATCCTTCTAGCATCCTGAAACCAGCTTGGAGTGAACAGAGATTCGGTGGGGGGAAGGGATGTCTCCACATTACTTCTGTCCCCAGTTCGAAATGCTGATTTTAGATTCATTAAACAGATGGCTCAAAACCCTATTTCACACGTTAGAGAGGCTACAGAGAAGTGCCTCCTCCCCATATGGGCTTGACTTCAGGCACACGCAAGTGAGGGAGGCAAAGTCGGAAGTTGAACGGAGACCTTACTTGTCCTTACCCAGTGCGCTGGCACCTCCATCAGCCTCCTGCACAATCTGCCTGACCTGTGTCTTCCACCTGGTGTCCGATGGAGCTTTCTCTGCATGAGGGAATTCAGCAACCGCTCTGCCTAACATGCCCTTCACCTGAAAGAGGAGCAAGGAGCAGGGAGCAAACCCAGGCAGGGAGAGGGCGAATGAGGAAACAAAAAGAACGGTGCAGGCCAGGGCAGCGCTTTCTCTCACCTCAGGCTTCTTTCTAAACTTGTCCTGCCTTCCAGTTCCCACCACTGACTAGCAGCCCTGTCTCTGGCATATTAACCAGAAAGAGCCATTAGGACTAAAACACTTAACAGCCCTGCCTAACCAGAGGGCCAGTGTGGTGCAGTGGTTAAGAGCACGGGACTGGGACTCAAAACAATCTGGGTTCTAGTCCCGCTCAGCCATGGAGCCAACTGGGCCAGTCACAGACTCTCAGCCCAACCTACCTCACAGGGTTGTTGTTGTGGGGATAAGATGGAAGAGAATGATGTAAGCTGCCTTGAGCCCTTTGTAGGAAATAGGCAGGATATAAATCAAATAAATAAATAAACCAGCCAGGAAAGAGAGCACAGAACATTATCCATGTCTTGTTCACCTTCTGCTCAGATTAGCATAATATGCTATATATAAGAGGCTGCCCTTGAATATACTTCAAGGGCAGCCTCTTATGCATTCTGAGCAAATTACACCAGCTGCTTTCATTCATGTCCCAGCCCAGCTGCTGGATTTTAAATGACTGAGAAGCTCATGGCCCTCCAGTTGTTGAGGGTCCTTCCATCAGCCCAGGCCAGAAACACCACTGGAATGCAGCAGGCCAACATTTTTTTATAATGCTCTACTTCTTATGTAAAGTACTTATGCTTAGTACTCCACCCTGATATTCGGATGAAAAGTAATTTGGTTGCTTATTATAGTGTGCGTAGTATATTATTGCATGTAACATAGTATATATTTTTGTTATTTTCATTTTTCTACAAGAAACCTAAGGTAACTTAAAATATTGGTTATATCCATTTGTAGATTACCCAAAATTGAAAGTATCCTCAATCCATTGTGTTGTCAAAGGTGGCTGCTTGTCCTTCCCAGGTTGTGATTCTCATCTTTCAGCTGTCAAATAGGTGTGGTGGGTCCATTTATTGTGTTAAATAACTACCAGTGTCTTGTGGAACTTAAGAACAGGTGTGCCCATAAAGAACTTTTTTGCACAAAATTTATCCAGATTATTCCCTCTCCAACTAAAGCAGCAGCTTGCATTTCTGTCCTCCTCCCTCTCCATTTTATCCTCACACCAGGTTGGAAAATAGGATGGACTGAGAGTGTGTGAGTAGCCAAAACTAAATGAATGAGGCAGGACTGGGAGAGAAGCCGCTCTAGCCAGAATTTCAAAGATATTTTCCGCCTCTTGGGAACATCCATTAGTAGCAGAGCAATTTTGTGGGGGGTGAAACAGATGGCCCTCCACTGATGGTTTTACAAGTGGGAGAGCTTATTGCTTGCACATTTGCAGTTACTTCTGAGGGTCTTCTGATACCATATGGAAGAACCTACCCTACATTTAGAACCTGGAGCCCAGAGGCTTGGAACTCCCCTGTTGGATAATTTCTAGCATACAACAGGACAGCCAGACACATTTCCTGCCTTTTCAGACTGCCAGGAAGAAATGCTCTCACCTGCAGTTCCTCTTCCCACTTCTTGTCCTCTGCCTGGCTCAGGAGGAAGCCTTCGGCCAGGGCCACCGCCTGTGATGTGGTCTCCGCATCACACTCCCTTATCCAGCTCTCCATTTCCAGGGGCAGCAGAGTCAGGAACCACTCCAGGATCACCAGATCCACCATTTGAGTCTTGGTGTGTCTTTCTGGCTTTAGCCACCTATGGCAGAGGTTGTACAGCTGGCTACAAACTGCTCGGGGTCCCTTGGCTTCTTGGTAGCGGAGCCCCCTGAAGTTCTGGTAGTGCACATCTGAGCTGCCAGTGTCTGTGTCCAAGCTCTTCTGCACTTCCCAGAATGCCCCACTGCCCCCAACCCCAGAGGCACCCAGGCCTCTCCTTCCTGCTTCAGGACCAGATGAGATTTTTCCTTCCATCTCCGGACCAGCTATGACCCTAGCAGGGCTGAAGGGCTCTCTGTGCCCTGCTGCCAGTTCCTCTCCTAAGTTGGCTGGGATGGCAAGGGGTGAAGCACAGCAAGCAAAGTGCGCCAGCCTTTCTGTCTGCATCTATCCTGCTTCTGAGAAGTGCCAGGGACCCCTCAGTCCAAGAGTGAGGTTTTTCCTGTAAACAAGAGGGAAAACAGACCAAGTCTCAGGGGAACACACGGACTGGAAACAGCACCTGTGGGAGCCCCCACCTCCTCCACCCACCCACCTCCTCATCCCACCACCGCCTTCTGCCAGCTCCTCTCTCCTTGCCCTCCCTCTTCGACACGTGCAGAGTCCCGTGAAAAGGGCTTCAGTCCACTCAAGAGGAGAAAACCGGCCTTGAATAATGGAGTGCCATCATAATAATGGGGTAATGGGGTAACCTTAAAATAACTTCTCGTAGGGCTGGCCCAGGCGGGGAAGGCTGTGGGCTGCAAGGGGGTGCTAGGGAGGGCCTCACCCAGCACGGCCCACCGGCCTTTCCTGCTGCACCCCTCGCGTGGGGGGGGGGGGGGCCCCCCCCCCCCCCCCTTGGCCGGCACCCTGCCCTTTCCCCGCTAGGCCGCGGCCGGGCTCGGGGCTCCTCACCTCCCGGCGCGGCTCCTCGTCTCAGCCCGCGCTCGCCCTCGCGCCCCAGCCGCGTATCCCGGGCAACGCCCGGAGCCGCCCCTCCCACCCTCGCTCCAGAGCCGACGCCGGAAGGGCACGTTTCCGCGCGCCCCTCGGAGCCCTTCTGGGACTGGACGCTCCCTCACTTTAACCCTGGAGGGGCCGGAGTGCCGCAGAGCGCGCTGGTCTTTAGAAAGCCGATGAGGACGAGGCATTTTATTAATTAATTAATTAATTAATTAAAACATGTCTATGCCGCTCCATTCGCCGAAGCCTCGGGGCGGCTCACAACATGAAGAAAAATACAGTAATAACAATATAAAAATAACAATATAAAATAAATAACAATATAAAAGAAGTCGCCCTGGCCAGATAAAATAAGCAAATACTGTTAACAATTAAAATGACGCTTAAATAAAAAGGTCTTTGCCTGGCGCCGAAAAACAAGTAACGACGGCGCCAGGCGGACCTCTCTGGGGAGCGCATTCCATAGATTGGGCGCCACCCCAGAGAAGGCCCTCCTCCGAGTCCCCAGCCTCCTGATTTCCTTCACGGAGGGTTCCCGGAGAAGGGCCTCTCCCGCAGATTTCAAGGGGCGGCTGGGCATATATGGATGTAAGCGCTCCTTCAGGTAACCAGGCCCCAAGCCGTTTAGGGCATGACTTGGGGGCTCAGGCGCGCCGGCCTTTTCTGCGGCCTTCCCTTTCTTGGGTGCGTGTGCCACCGCCCCGATTTCTCTCCTGCCGAGTACCTGTGATCATTGTCATTACGGGAATGAAGAGGCTGCAGTGCTTTGCAACCAGGGAAGACCTCGGGAAGGCCTAAAAGCATCCAGGCGGGGTAAATGAGCATAACATAAGACGAGCCCTGCTGGATCGGACCCGAGCTCCATCCAGTGCAGCTGCCCGCAGGATCTCTCCAGCAGGACGGGTGCAGGACCTCCATCTGCCCAGACCCTCAGCAAGTGGTGTGTGCAGGCAGGCCGCCTCTGGGGAAGGAGGGAGCACGTGGCCAGCAGGGCTAGTAGCCACGGAGGGCCTCCTCCTCCGTGAGTTTGTCCAGTTTCCTTTTCCTTCATCCAGGCTGCCTTAAACGTCTCACCCATCAGCTTTGTTAGCACGATAGCAGCCATGAGAATGAATAAACCGATTTGGTAGGGAAGACCTCTTTCGCCCTGAACCTCAGCAATGTATTGAAAGATCACTCGGGTACCCTCTGCAGAGAAACCCATATATACAACAGTGCTGTTGGATAGAAGCCGGGCCAACTACACGCTTCCAGAGCATATGCAGAGTGTTTCATAGGCTCTGAGTTGCATGGGCCCAGCAGCTGGGCAGACTATAACGAAATAAAGGGAACACAGTCAAAAGAATGCAAGAGAGGAATATAACAGTCAGGAGTCATTGCCGGTCTTGACTACCAGTTTGAATGTAAATTAGTTAGGCCAGGTTGCTGCTGCTAGCAGATTAGCAGCACAAAAGCTCCAACACGGTTAACTTTACAACTGAATGTAGTAGCTGCCTCAGCTGAGCCGAAGTTCCTGTCTCTTAAAATAACAATGCCAAACAGAGAAAGGGATGGGGGCATTTGTATAACACAAAAGCACTTACAAGCAACCTTTTTTTATCTGATTTATCTGAATTTCCCAATATCTGACACCGCAAAAATAATAATGGAATGCTGGAATCAGTCACACCTCTATGAAGAAATTGTTCCAAAATGTCCCATATTGCCACACAGATTATCCTGGATACTTGAAGAAGAGGCTTCAAGGACCTGGTTCATCCGAAAAGCTAGTCTGGGTCATGGAGCGAGTGAGAAGTTTTGACATCTTGCCAGTTTGCTGCTTCTGCTTTGTAACAACCCGGGTGTCCTGAGCCGGACACTTCCCTTCTTGCCCTGCTCTTCAAAACACTGGACAGTCCGTCACATTGCAGTGCTTTTTTGACATTCCACAGCTCACCAGACAATGCAATTCCAAAAGTTCCTTAGCAAGCTGAACCATAGCCTCTGCTCATGTAAAGAGTGTGTGAGTGTTGAACCCAAACTAGAAACTTCTCAGTCCTTCCCTTTCATTCACACTGCAGGCTGCACTCTCTGGGTGACTCTCACTGGTGGGGAGCCCGCTGGTGAGACCTCCACAAGTCTTTTAACTGGGCAGCTTGTCTCCTCACAGGGTCGGGGACTGGCAAGGCAATGGCTCTCCCTCTTCTCCTGAGTCTCCTCCCATCTCTTCCAAAATATGTCAGTTTTAGACCCCTGGAACTACACAGGGGTCAGGTTTTTCTAACCCTGACCCTCATCTGAAGCTGGACCCCAACTGTAACACGCAGGTATAAACACATACATTCAGACAACATCCCAGAAAAAAAGCAGCCAAGATATTCCTGCAAACCACACACTGTTCTTGCTACATTTTTCAGTCCAATGGACATGCACAGGGACCCAGGGTAACCCTAACCTGAAGTTTAACCCCACCCCTAAAACCACGGCAGAATCTTTGCACATTCAGACAAAACACACACAGGGAGTAGCCAAGACATTCTTGTTGACTTTGTCAGAATCCCGAAATCTCAATTTGTGAGAGGAAATAAAACTCGGGGTCGTGGGAAAGATCAATCGTTATGAACCTCCGCGTCTTTATTGTCTATCCCTGGTCAGACTCACGATAAGGCATTACCGGGCAGGGAGAGGTAAACTCGCTGCAAAGTTTTAATCTAACTACCGGCAATTTTTAAACTCTCTCAGCCACGTACACCTGTACACAGCCATTAAGGACAGAATACAAGTATTACAATAAAGTTAGGTGGTCAGCATATGCAGAAAAGATACAGGAATGTCAGTCAATCATACAGACAATAAGATTACACTATCTCACAAGGCAATTTTGACGTATTGGTGAAGTAACTTCCAGAGGCGTAGATCCATCTCTGGGTCTACTTAGACATGTAAATTTGGGCTATCGTAAGCTTTTGTACTACATTCAGGAAGTCCAAGACCCTGAGTAAAGTATGACAAATAGCTACTTCCTGACAAGGGGTAAATTCCAAAAGAGATTAGATAACTACAATGTGAATGAATTTGACTGAATGAAGACCCCAAATTCTTTCTGTCTGCTCTTGACCCATAGCCAGGGGGAGGGAAAGAAACATCCATAGTTTCAGCTGACAGTTTAAATGGTTTCCTGAGTTGCACTATGCTTATTTTCCAAAAACCCCCTTATATCCTGAGGTTTGAATAAGATTTATTCGGGCCTCTTTTCCAACAATTGCTCACTCTCATCTGCTCAGTCAAAGCTGCTTTCAGGCCTCTGGACATGCAGCAGCATCCAGGTTTTCCTTCCCCTACCTCTAATTGTAAGCCCCACCTGATTTTTAAACCTAACCCTAATACAATACCCTCAACAATATGCAGAAAGGTGGAATCTCGTTTCATTGTGGTTTCTCGTTATATGTGAACCAGGACATGTCAATTATTTGGGGTGAGAATTTGTCAAATAATTGGGGTGCTTTTAAAATCAGTATGGGAGGATATTTGTGTATGGCTTCATATATGTCAAACCTCAACATAGAAAACTCCCAACTGACTCAAAAAATTCCCCATCACAATAGCTTTATTTATAAATTCATAAACAAAATGCCAAATATACAGGGTTAAAACAAAGTACAACCACACAATTTTCATTTGCCAAACATGGCAACAGAGAAACTTCCAACAACATGATGTTCTTACCAGATCCAAAAGGAGAGAACCAGTTCTCAAAACTATTAAAATCTTGGTTCCAACTATAGTACAGATCATTTGCTGTGAATATCTGTGTGCTCTCTCAGGTATTTTCCCTACTCCATGTATTGCTAATATTCAGACCCTTGACTACTTGAATTCATCACCTTCTGATGGGATCCATTTCAGCCCTGAACAATTGTATGTCTTCCTCCTTTGTGTAGATGATTTGATGATAACTGAGGCTACTGAGCTGACTCAAGCTGTTGTCACACTCCCCACTGTGGATGCTGTAATGTAAATCGAGGTATTGACTAGAAGCAAAGCTCTTTCCACACTCCGAACATTTAAACTGCTTTTCATCCTTGTGGGTTCTCTGATGAGAAGTAAGGCTACCTCTCCGGCTGAAGCACTTTCCACACTCTGAGCATATATATGGCTTCTCCCCTGTGTGTGTTTTTTGATGGGAAGTAAGGCTACCTCTCTGCCTGAAGCTCTTTCCACACTCTGAACATCTATAGGGTTTCTCCCCTGTGTGGGTTTTTAAATGAGAAATAACACTGCCACTCTGTCTGAAGCTCTTTCCACATTCAGAGCATTTGTATGGCTTCTCCCCTGTGTGGGTTTTTAGGTGGGAATTAAGGCTACCACTCTGGCTGAAGCTCTTTCCACACACTGAACACGTATAAGGTTTCTCCCACCTGTGCATTCTTTGATGTGAAGTAAGGTTACCACTTCGACTGAAGCTTTTTCCACACTCTGGGCATTTATATGGTTTCTCTCCTGTGTGGCTTCTTTGATGATAAGTAAAGCTACCACTATGGCTGAAACTCTTTCCACACACTGAACACTGGTAAGGTTTCTCACCTGTGTGTACTCTTTGATGATCACTAAGGATACTGCTCCGACTGAAACTCTTCCCACATTGAGGGCATTTGTATGGTTTCTCACCTGTATGGATTCTCTGATGATTAGTAAGGCTACCACTCTGACTGAAGCTCTTTCCGCAAACTGAGCATTGGTATGGTTTCTCCCCTGTGTGTATTCTTTGATGTGAACTAAGGCTACCACTATGGCTGAAACTCTTTTCACACTCTGAACATTTAAATGGCTTTTCACCTGTGTGTGTTTTTTTATGATAAGTCAGGGTACTGCTGTGACTGAAGCTCTTTCCACATTCTGAGCATTTAAATGGTTTCACTCCTGTGTGCGTTCTTTGATGTACAATGAGATGTATCCTCCAGCTGAAACACTTTCCACATTCTAAGCATTTAAATGGTAGCTTTGCTTCATGCACTCTTGTGGGCATGTTAAGGCTTGCTATCCTAGTTACGTTTTTTGCAAATAGTGGGATTTTTTTCCTTTTCTTCCTTGGGTGACACTCTTCAATCACAGTGAATTCATGGACATAGATGCCTTCAGCAACAACAGGTTTCTCCCTCCATTTCTGTTTTGCTTCTGACGTTCTTCTCTGGTGTTCCTCCTCATTATCACTCTTCCTCCCTACAGGAATAAGGAGAAAAAGTTTATTCAAGAGGAAAAGATTCTCAGTAGATGGAAAAAACCCAGTTAGGAAGAAGCTTACTTCACAGGGTTGTTGTTGTGTGGATAAGACTGAGAACAAGAGGAGAATGATGTAAGTCACCTTGAGTTCTTTTAAAAAAGAAAAAAAACCAGGATAGAAATCTAATAAATAAATAATTTGTGCTCTGCTCCAGATAATTTCAAATCAATGGGAAAAGTTTGTTTTTTCACTAAGCTTTGGCAACTTGGATGGCATGGCAGTTGCGATAAATGGGGAGGAGAAAGTTGATGCTCTCCAAATATAAAGTTTCACCTTTTTACTTTTCTCAATATTTTAATTGTTAAAACTTTATATTTTATTTAAATGTGGCACTGTGGATTAATCATTTAATTAATTACTATTTTTTTCATCAGCTGCGCCCCTACCTGGAGTACGACTGCCTTGCGACAGTGACACATGCGCTGGTGACTTCCCGTCTTGACTTCTGTAATGCGCTCTACGTGGGGCTACCCTTGAAGACGGTCCGGATACTTCAATTGGTTCAAAATAGAGCTGCCAGGCTGCTGACGGGGACTGGGCGTTATGTTCACATGACTCCAGTTCTCCATCAGCTTCACTGGCTTCCCATTGAAGTCCGGGCCCAATTCAAGGTGTTGGTGATGACCTATAAAGCCCTAAATGGCTTGGGTCCTGGTTACCTGAAGGAGTGCTTGCATCCATATATGCCCAGCCGCCCCCTGAGATCGGCGGGAGAGGCCCTTCTCCGGGAGCCCTCTGTGAAAGAAATTAGGAGGGTGGTTACTTGGAGGAGGGCTTTTTCAGCGGTGGCGCCTAAGTTATGGAATGCGCTCCCCAGAGAGGTCCGCCTGGCGCCGTCGTTATTTGTTTTTCGGCGCCAGGCGAAGACCTTTTTATTTAAGCAGCATTTTAAATGTTAATACTATTGAATTTTATCTGGCCAGGGCGGCTTATTTTATATTGTATGTTTATATTTTATTCTAATGTTTATATTCTAATTTATGATTATGATTATTTAACTTATTGTTGTAAGCCGCCCCGAGGCTTCGGTGAATGGGGCGGCATAAAAATGTTTTAATAAATAAACAAATATTTATTTAATATTGTTATTGGTTTCATATTCTGGCCTTTACTGTTATTGGTTGTGTACTTTGTTTTTATTGAGGATCATTGTGAAATTGTTCTCGGTTTTATCTTATTGTGACATTGGGTTTTGTTTTATATTTTAAATGTTTGCAGACAATCCAGAGATCTGAGTCACTATAGGCATGGGGTAGAAATGTTTTAAATAAATAAGTAAATAAATAAAAAATAATAAAATGAAGTTTCCTGGATGACTTTAGGCCAGTCACAGACTCTCAGGCCAACCTACCTTACAGGGTTGTTGTTGTGAGGATAAAATGGTGCTACGTAAGCTGGCTTGTGGTTCCTCACATGAGGAAAAAAAGCTGGATGTAAATATAATGCCATGTAATAATAATAGTAATTCTCTTAACACATTTATCTCAAAAAAAAAAAAAGAATAAATAAATAGCAGATCCAAAAAGCATGCAGCAGCCAGAAATCTCTTCTTCAGACACAGGCCAAACATTTCATGCTTCCAGGCAAACTTACCCAGAGTGGCCAGATTTCTGTAGTTCTCCTCCATGACGTCTGTGTGCAGGGCCCTCTGGGCTGGATCCAGCAGGACCCACTCCTCCTCGGAGAAATGCACAGCCACCTCCTCAAAGGTCACTAAATGCTAGAAAAAGAAAACAACACTTTCTGCAGACAGGTAACATGGCAACCCAAGCAGACAGTGAAGTGCTCGTGAGTTTTCTTCCAGGATCCAAACTCCCGAGTGCTTATCAAAGCCAAGTCCTTTTGACGATTGTTGCAAAAATAGAATGAAGGAAAACTGACTGGACTTTAACCTGAAAATTGATGGTGGAACGTCGGACATAAGTATGCAATTTGTCATTTTCCATCTCCAAAACAACAGAAAGGGGGAAGTAAAAGCCAATCCAAGGGGAGAAGTTTGCAGCCTTTTGGACTCTTGGTTTAGCAAATAGGTAGCTGAAGGGACTGATGGTGAAGTTGTAGAAAATGTGGAGAAAATTTTGGAGAAAGCCTGGAGAAAGTGGACAGGGAGAAATTCATCTTCCTCTCTCATAATACTGGAGTGTATGTAAAAGAGCTAGAACAACACTAAAACTGACCCTGCAAAGGGATAAATAAAAATGATGTGGGATGGATCATCCCAAGCCCCTGGGTAGTTAAATGAATCATGAAAGACTTCAGCGTAAAGGGCTGTCTTACCCTGGTGCCGAAAAGATGGCGACTCTGGGGCCAGGTGGGCTACCGTGGAGAGGTCGTTCCATAGGTGGGGGCCACCATGGAGAAAGCCCTGCCCTTTGATGCCACCCTCTGAGCCTCCATCTGAGGTGGCACTCGGAGGAAGGCCCCAAAGATGGAGTGTAGCATCCAGGCAGATCAGTCATTATTCGTCAAGCCACCTGCACCTCCTTTTAGGCCGGGGTCTGAGGGAACCTTCCTTTAAGCCAGGCCCTGGAGATCCCATGTGTCATGGTGGCACAGCCTCCTCACCCAGCATGCCTTGCTTTAAGGACGGACCCCTCGCAGAGGGCATTTGGGCTGCTCCCCAGAAAACCCACCCAACTGATCTCTCACTCCAGGAGAGTTCTCTGGCTGGAAGGGCTCTTTGGGCGGCATGGAGGGGTCGGTGGCCTACATGGGGAGGGACCCCCTCTGCCTTCAGGGGGTCATTTGGATGCCCCCAGAATTTGGTACCTGGGGCACCACCCTGTTTGCCCCCCAAAGCAGCAGCCCTGCCAGCTGCTAGGAACTCAGTCAGAAGGACCCTACTGTAGATCTGCTTTGTTTCTGGGCTTCTCAGAGGCATCTGAGAAAGCCAGTGTTTCCTAGTGGTTAGAGCACTGGTCTGACCCAGCAGAGGCCTGCTTTTTGCTTTTAAGACTCAAAACCTCTGGTGCATCCCTCCTCTCCAGGCCCTTCTCCAGATATTCCTGCCCTACCTGATCTGGTTTTGCAGTGGCTGTTTCCACTTCGCCAGAAGGAGGCCTTGGGTGAAGCACCAGTGTCGTTCCATTGCCTGCGAGGAGACAGGAGAGGTGGGAAGACACTTCATCCTTGATCATCACTTGCCATGTCAGGGAGCAGTGGCACATGACCAGGTCTTCTTGGTAGTGGCACCCACCCTCTGGAACTCTCCCCCAAGCGTGGCTGGAGAGAGCGTCAAACCTGTGACCTTGAAAGTGCCTTTGTTCACTTAGGCTTTACCCTGAACTGTAAATAACCACAATACAGCTGTTTGACTGCTTTGGTTGTAAAGTATTTGGTGCCTGATTTTGCCCACATGCATTCTCCCTCCTCCCACCCTCCAGATTTTTCTGCTTGAGGTTTTTTTTTCCTGAAATCAAATGGACTCCTCTCCCCATTCATAAGTCTTTTTTTTTTTTTAACAAAAAGCGGTGTCCTTAGGAAAGAGGGTCATTTAAAGACACTCACAGAGAGACTTTAGAGCAGCCTTCTGCGCCTTCCAGCCATTGGGAACTTCAACTCCCATCAACCCCAGCCATCCTAGCCAAAGGCCAAGAATGCTGGGAGTTGCAGTACAAACCAAGGGGAAGACAGCAGGTTGGAGAAAGCTGCTCTAGAGCATTAACATGTGTCCGTTTGTGTTGTGTTGTGATTTTGATTTGTTGTCCTTGTGGGTTTGAGGGCTACCCACATCATTTTAGTATTTATTATCTATTTTATTTTATTAGATTTTTATATACCACCCCATTCCCACTGCTCTGGGCCGAATCTATGATTCAAGCTTCTGGAAAACAACCTGAAGTGGCAAACATGTGAAGACAGAACTATTTCTCGGATGCACAGTTCAGAGGACCGGGAAACTCTGGGAGCTGGGTCGTAAAACAGCTGGCAAAAAAAATTCCCCTGTAACAGAGACAAGGCTCAAAAGGAACTTTAAAGCCACTCAGGAATTCCAGACATACCCAAGAGAGGGAAGCTGAGTGGAGACCCCGTGAGCTCTTACCCTGCTGAGCGGACCCTCTGTCCTCCTGCACGATCCACCTAAATTCTGCCTTCTGCCGGATGTCCAGCGCAGACTTGCCTTCCTCGCCAAGCTCAGGAGCTGGTTTGTGCCAGGCCCCCACCACCTGCAGGAGGTGTGAAAGCCCCAGACCGAGAAAGGGATTAGAAAAGGAATACAGAAGGAGAAGGCAGCCTCCTTCAATCTCGCTGAACTCCGGCAGACTTCCAAACTTCACTCTGCCTTCCAGATCCCACACTTGAACTGGCAGCCGTGACTTTCACAGGTATGAACCAAACCCTCAGGGCCAACCCAGAAAGCTCATTTCCAGACCCAGAGGAACCGAAGAGAAATAAGAGATCGGGAAAGCGCAGTACATTTCAGGAATGGCATTGTTGATGTTGTTAGAAGAGGGCAACTAGACATCTGAGAGGGATGGTATAACTTGGAGTCCTGCTCTGAGCAGGATGTTGGACCCTCTGGCCCCTTCCAGCTACTGTTCATGATTCCAGACCAGAGCATCCCAGTTTAAACTTGTCCTGCCGAAAGTTGTGGAGACATTCACAAGCAGAGCAAAACAATTAACAGAGAATAACACTATCCAGGGTTACTAGTCCTCATGGCTAAATGTTCTACCTCCAGGATCAGAGGCTGTAGGACTGTGAATACCCTGTTTCCCTGAAAATAAGACCTAACAGGAAAATAAGCCCTAGCATGATTTTTCAGGATGCTCATAATATAAGCCCTACTCCAAAATAAGCCCCAGTTAAGATAATCAGCCAGACAGATGCATTTAGTACGTCCATTGCAGCACAATTCAGGGTTTGGAGAGTTATGACGAAGTTCCAGAAGAAGAAGGCATGACTGTATTTGGATAAATGTAGATTGTTGTACATTAATAAATGTAGATTGTTGTACGTGAAAAAATAAGACATCACCTGAAAATAAGCCCTAGTGCATCTTTTGGAGCAAAAATTAATATAAGACAAAAATTAATTAATATATTATTATTATTATTATTATTAGAACATTTCTATGCCGCCCCTTGCCGAAGCCTCGGGGCGGCTTAGAACACAATACAATACAATACAATACAATACAAAAATAACAATATAAAATTAAAATTAATAATATAAAATAAATAAAAAATATAAACGATATAAAAGAAGTTATAAAAGAAAAGAAAAGAAGTCACCCTGGCCAGATAAATAAGTAAATTTTGTTAACAATTAAAATGACGTTTAAATAAAAAGGTCTTCACCTGGCGCCGAAAAACAAATAACGACGGCGCCAGGCGGACCTCTCTGGGGAGCACATTCCATAGATTGGGCGCCACCGCAGAGAAGGCCCTCCTCCGAGTACCCACCCTCCTGATTTCTTTCACGGAGGGCTCCCGGAGAAGGGCCTCTCCCGCCGATCTCAAGGGGCGGGCGGGTGTATATGGATGTAAGCGCTCCTTCAGGTAGCCAGGACCCAAGCCGTTAGGGCTTTATAGGTCATCACGAACACCTTGAATTGGGCCCGGACTTCAATGGGAAGCCAGTGAAGCTGTCAGAGGATTGGAGTCATGTGAACATAACACCCCATCCCCGTCAGCAACCCGGCAGCTCTACTTTGAACGAAATATAAGACCCGGTCTTATTTTCGGGGAAACATGGTACCAGTTGCCTTCCTAAAAGCAAACCAGCAGGAGGTGAGGGTCCATCCACCGGCCTCTCCAAGTCACTTTTCATTAGTAGAGCAACTTTGGTGGCTGCTAGGAGGCCATGACGGCTCTCCCTGCCCCAGGATCTGATCCCTTGCACCACATTTACAGTGTTGTCAAACGGCCGCCCCATCTGCCCTGGGAGGGGGGGTCCAGCCCTACAACCAGGCAATGCTCACAGTGCCATTCCAAGCGTGTTCTGCCCCCCGGGAGCATCGCAAAATGCTCTCACCTGCACCAGCCCTTCCTGCTCCTCGTCCTCCGCCCGGCTCAGGAGGAAGCCCTCCGCCAGGGCCACCGCCTGCGAAGTGGTCTCTGCCCCGCACTCTCTGACCCAGCTCTCCATCTCCGGGGGAAGGACAGTCAGGAACTGCTCCAGGATCACCAGGTCCAGCATCTGGGTCTTGGTGTGCCTTTCAGGCTTCAGCCACTGACAACAGAGGTCATGGAGCCGGCTGCAAACCTCTCGGGGTCCCTCGGCCTCCTGGAAGCTGAACCGCCGAAAGTGCTGGCATGGAATGTCGGGGTGGCCATAGTCCTTGCCCAGGTGCCACTGCACTGTTCTTTCCCAGAATGCCCCATTTCCCCCATCCCCAGAGAGATCAGGGCTTCCTCTTCCTGCTTCAGGACCCGCTGAGGGTTCTACTTCCATTTCGAATTGGTGCTCTAGCTTGGACTAAAGCAGGAGCCAAGGGCTCTCCACACTCTGCAGCCAGTTTCTCTCTTAAGGGAAGGACAGTGGGGATGATGGGTTGTGGTGGACAAGTGCTTCTAGGAGAAACCACCGGCCCTCTGTATTGTGCTCATCCAGTGAAGGGAAGCTTTCCAAGAGGCTCTGGGTGATTCTGACTTCTCCCTGTAAGGAAAACAATCTAAGTATGCAATCTAATGCACATTTAGACAGAAAACAGTACTACATTTCCCATGATGCCCCAGTGAGCTATGCCAGCCATCTGCACCAGGACACCCACAAGTGGGACACCCACAACAGGACTTTCCCACCCATGTTCCCCAGCAGCCCGTGCACACAGACATTTTGCCTCTAATCTTAGAGGGAACAGTCATGAGGACTAGAGCCTTTGCTCCAATCCCGTCTTGGCATCCCAACTAATGCTCATCGCTACATCTCCGGGAAATTAGTTCCCGATCCTTGCTTCTCTTTTGCCCTATATTCCACACACCCCAATCCCTGCTGCACCCCAAAAGCACTTTGTGCTCCTTAGAGCCCTCGAAGTGTGGGAAGAGGCCACCGACGTCATGCATGCAGGAAACCGCTAAGGAGTTCCGTCAAAATTCCTGGCTGTATGGCAACAATAGAAATAAACGCAATGCAAATACAAACGCCGGTACTCCGGATTGAATCCAGAGGGCATCCGGCCCTCTTCTTCCCCGCCTTGCATTTCCCTGCCCCAGCTTGGCCCCCTCTTTCCTCCCTTGCGCCCCGGCACGCATTCCTCACCGGATCCGTGGGAAAGGGGTGCGAAGCGGGTTGCGCGAGCGGGGCGGGTGCAGATGCTTCGGGGGGGGGCGGGGCAGGAAGAGGTGCTGGATGCACGGCCCTCGCTGCCTCTCTATGGATGGATGGAGACTCTCTCGCTTTAACCCTCGGATGGATTCCCCCCTCCCCGCGCCCCAAAATGCAGCCGGGCGACTTTCCCTCTCCTCTCTCGCCCTGGTGCGAGCGCCTTCCCTGCAAGGGATCCCGGCGGGGGAATCGGGCGGGAGCGAGAGGGATGATG